GGGCGGCGGGTCACAGGCAAGCAATGCGGGCAACCAACAGGTGGCTGGCTGCTGTTGGAGACTGCAGCGGCCGGTGTCCATCGAAAGGCAACAGCAGCGGCGGGCAAGCGGCAACGGCGTGAGCGGGCTCGTTGGCGGGGGGCCCTCGAAGCAGCCGACATCCGACGGCGGGCAGGAGCAAGTGGGTGGCTGGCGACAATTGGTGGCGGCCTATGGGCGGCCGAAGGATGGTGGTGAGGCTCGGCAGACAGCAAGTAAGCGGCAGACAGCGGTGGTTGGTGGGCGGGCGGCGGGACTCCCTATTTTTGCTGTTTTAAATACAGGCAAAAACATAGTTTTTTTTATTTTTTATTTTTAAATTTTAAGTATTTTAAAAACAGAAATGTTTCTCCAAAAAATAAAAAAACAGAAATAAAATAAAAACAGATAAACAAACACAATTTTTTTGTTTGTTTCCCATTTTTTTATTTTAAAAAATAAAAAAAAATAAAAAAACAAAAACTGATCCCAAATAGCCCCTTAACAATCAATATTTGTTATTCACTTTTAATGAGATCATTTGTATGATCAATTTAAGAACATTAAACATAGTGATCTACATAGATAGACTATCTTAATAGGTTTGAAGATTTTATTGGTAAATAGCATCAATTGCACCAAAGACAATAAAAGAAGCCAATAATAAATATTTAAAGGATCAATGATGCTTCATTTCTTTATCATACCTAATTTATTTTAAACACGCAACCAACATCGGTATCATGTATGCCAAATTTGATCCAATACAAGAAACTATAATTCATGAATATTTTTAAATGATTAAAGCAGATGTAAGAACAAGAACTTATAGAACCATTATACCTTATTTGAATCCACATAAAAAATACACTAGAGCCTACAACAAAACCTACCAAAATATGAATTTTAACCTAGAGCTAAAATCTTAAAATGAATCGTTCTACATTTAATTTTGCATTTAAAACTCATTTGAATCCACACTAAATTATGCCCTAGAGCCTGCACCAAACCCTACCAAGATCTCAAATTGAGAACTATCTATCACATTGAAACTTAACCCAGCTGAGGTTCTTTAATAATAAAATAACATAATAGAGCACCCCATTAGGAATTAATCATTAATACTATTCCAGTGTTGAACAGTCAACCAAAATATTAACTTTTTTGAGTTTTTTTCTTCAGGTTTAAGATTTCTAACATCATTCAACTTGTAAAATTACATCAATATATCCTTCAATTTATTTATAAAAACTAAATGAAATTCTAAAACCTAAATTAATATCTATCTGGTTGATTTCAAAGGTACACAATTCATTATGCTTAATTATTCGCAATTAATTTATTCCTCTACAAAAGAGGATGCATGTCCATATAACACGCATTTATCTGTGTTAAACTAATGTGCACATTCAGTCAATTACCAGAAAAAACTTTAAAAATCTTATAGATATTCATTTTGAATTCTCCTCCTCTTTGCATCTTTTGAAATTAATTGTTATTAACTGAGAGATGATATGGGACTCCATAAAGTTCACAGTCCTAATATAGATTTACCATGCAATGTAGATTTCGATGAAACTAGATAATACAACAAAAGATCAACTGTTTAAAGAATACAAATTATCGACTTTAAACAACATTTAGTACATTTGAAATATTTTTTTCTTACGTCCAGTTGTAGTAAATTTGAAATAAATTATATCCTCAACTAAAAGTTTGGTGGTACTAAATGCAACTTGACATTACTTGTGCCAACAAACTCTATTTCCACATAATTTCAAGCAACATGATCTTGAACAAAAGAGTGTCTAATCAGAATGTGCTTGATCTGTAAATGTTAAATTAATTTTTTTAGTTAATCCAATAGTACTCGGGTGTTATCACACTTAACCAAAATGTACTATCTTAATTTTATAGTCTTCTAATTATTGTTTTGATGTAACATAATTGTTTATAAGCACATATTATGCCTTAACAATGTATAAAGCCGGATAATTTTATTTACTTCTATAACCAAGGCACGAGTGATGATCCATCTAAATCAAAATTGGTAGATCATGAGGAGATTTGAATTTCTTCGCATCAAAATTCAAAATTAATTCATTTGTGTAAATCACTTCAAAGAGGAAGGTCATTCTCTAATTGCTTCACCAAAAGTCTCATGACAATGTGTAGTTCTGCCGTCTCTACATACACAAAAAAAGACAATTCTAATGAAAGTGTATAGTCTTAACAATAAAAAAAATTAGGGGACCCAAAACCAAAAACGTGATAAAAATCTCAAGAAGAAAAAGAAAACTCAATGTGGAAAATCAGAGAAAACTCACTCGCACTACTGACTAGTAAGGGGGAAAAATATTTGGGAAAGAAAAAGAAAGGAAAATAGGGGAAAGTATTTACCAGACACCCAACAAAAAATATAACTTGTGCTTGGATAGGGAAATAACCTCTCCCAATTTTCAATTCTCATGCATGCTCAAGGATTTGAATCTATAAAGGAGAAAGATTTGCAAATTCAAAGCAAAATATTATTGAGTCATGATGGTTTCAATACATGACTAGAACCCTAATCTATAATTAACAAAATCAATTAAACAAGCTCTAAGACAACAATTTGGAGATATAAAGCCTTTGAGAAAGTTAGATTACTAAAAGTACCCTACTTAATAATAAAGACATCGATAAGCAATAAAAAAACTGCTTCAAAAAAATATTAAAAGCGATTGCTTGTTAAAAATATAGTTTAATTAACATAACCAAATAAGCATAAAGTATATTATAGATTAATACATGAAATAAAATGCATAGAAGAAAAGATCTAATTCCAAATAAAATACTTATGAAAATTTATAAAAAAATGAGAGCATTGAAATAGTTCTATTAACAAATCTACTTAAATACTAAGGCATCATTTAGTTTAGCTTCTTATTTACCTTTTCGTAGAATACCCTACCAAAAAGCAACTGCATGCTTTTTAGGTGAAAAAATTAAACACTTTTTTTATAAATTTGCATAAAGAAAATGATAATTTGATAGAAGAAAAAGGATTGTTGCCCAAAAAAGAGTTTTTGCAGAATAGTGTTGAAAAACTCAACCAAGGCCCAAGATGGCACCAAATAAATGAAAAAGTCATATTTTAGCATTAATATATATAGGCGACAAAAATATTAGGCATATGGTAAATAAAAGGAATAAACTTAGTTGTTGGCCGATGGCCATATAATAAAGCTATTTAAAAGGATAAATGAAATATATATATTCTAAAAACACATTGATATCAAATAATCAATTTGATTTATGCTTGGATAATCCACCATTGATTGAATTTTTGTGCTAAGTCAATTGTTGATGAATAGATAGAGGAAAAAAGATCTTCATATATTTATAATGATCTTGAGAAAGCATATGATGAAATATTATAAGAATTAAATTGTTAAACATTTGGAAAAAAAAATTGTCAGAAAGATATTGAATTTATTAAAAATATAATATAGAAGATTGGCTAAAAATATAAATATTTGTGAAACGACAAAAACAGTTCAGAATCTTATCAATAGTGCATCAAATATTGATTGAGTTCATGTTTTGTGTATTGGTTATACACATGCTTACAAAGATATTCAAAGAGAGATGCTTTGGGATACGTTAATTGGTATAACTATAAACAATTTGACATAGTTCAAATCCTGAGACCTCTATTAGTATAAGTAAAAATTTAGAATAATGAATAAAATGTTTAAAAAACAACAAACCTAAAATTAGAAGAAAAAATTAGTAGCTATATGTAATTTCAGCCATTGCCGAGTTGTTTATTAGCCAATAAGAAAAATGTTATGTGATATTAATATGTGATCCATTTAAGTGCCATAAGTTATAATATAAGAATGAATATTTAAAATGAAGAAATTCCCCAGTAACAGCAAGCCAGAGAATGACATCAAGGCTTGAAGGTAAATTTCCTAAAACTAAAATTGCACCGACAAATTTATATGGATTCAAGTATTGGAAAGTAAAAAACACCAAAAGCCCAATTAATAAGTGTGGTATAAATAAAAAGTTAAAACAAATTTATGGTCAAACTAGAGAAGATATTTTTAAAAGTTATATATTAGAGAGACAATGTAATAGTGCCATAGATTTAAGCTATATGACCATGAATGTCTAAGGTTAGAAATTCCACTGACAAAACTTGTAATAAAAAAACATTGAAGAACCAGAAGAAAAAGGAAAAAGCATGGATTATGAATAAACACTTTTACATATATAATTAAAATATAATGTAATGCTAGAAAGGAATGAACAACAAAGATGAATTCATAAATACAGAACAAAAGAAATGGGATATGCATCATGCATTAGCCAAATGACCAAAACCAGATGCAACTTCGACAATATAACCGGACCTTGAGCTTCCCATGACATCTTTAAACTAGCTAAAAGGTTCAAACTAAACAGTAATTAAGAGAATAATTTCGTGATGGATTCTTTTGGTTTTAAGTGGATGCAAAACATGCTTTAGAAATCCATCAAATATGCTAGATTCCTTCACTTGGTAGGGCATAATTAGAAATCGCATTGCTTCTAAACTCTACACACCTCCTGAAATGTGCCGATTTCATTTCTACATAAAAATGAGGGAACTTCAATTTCTACTTTTCTAAAACATATTTATGATTACATCAAACTTAATGAAACACAAAACCATTGCCCTTCTCTAACTATTTCAACGTAACATAAACATTAGGACAAGTTGAGAAAGCTTAGATCGGAATAAGAACATTAAAAAAAAAACACACAAAAGTATCAGATCAATTATCCCTGCCTCTCGACCAAAACCATATTTTCATTGTCCAATGTATATCATGTCAAATGAATGACACCTTAGCCAATGCAAGTAATTCCAGAATGCAAGATCCATATATTACTAACAGTTCGACAATAAACAAAATACAAAAGAAGGGAAGAAAACTAATAAGTGTTACCTTTCTGAGAGCAGTGGCAAGCTCGCCCCTGGTGAAGTTTGCAGCGGCAGCAGTGCTCAGCGGGATTCCATTCCTGAACTGGTAGAGATGAACGTTCTTTTGGATGTACTCGATGAACTGAACCCTAGGACAAATAGAAGATGGTGAAAATAATCAGGAGATTCAGATGGGGAAAAAGAAGTGGAAGGAGTTGGAATAGAATACGAACGGACCGGTCGCCTGCCTCGCCGGAGACGCCGAGGAGCTTGTGGGAGTCGAGGACCAAGACCTTGTCCTCGTTAGCTTTGTGGACAAGTATGCTATGAACAGCAGAGGAGTCTGCAACGATCAAAGCGAAACCGTCACCTACAAGCCCGAAAACGCACTCCATCGCCGCCGGTTATGTTCCGATCGTCGGTCACAGTCGAGGAAGAGAGACGGGGAGACGAGGATCAGTCTTCTTGGCTTGGAAAATAAGCAAGGGAGCGCTGTGGAGGTTAATATCTGATTAATTGGAGCTTAAATCTTAATAATTATAATTATGCTAATGAAGTATTTATGACTTTGAAATTAGGATATAATTTTGAAGTTATTTTGCAAGGTAAATTAGCCGTCATTAATTTTGGATTTTTAAAAAAATGTTTATAGTATCTAAAATTATAAAAAACAATAAGAGGTTAGAATGCAAAGAATTTAATTGAATTTAAATTAAATATTTACATTCATAATAAATGAAAAATAAAAATAATGTATTTAAGAAATTTGATTTCTTCTCAAATTCTTCTTTACATTGATGTAATACCGAAATATATTGAATTATATTGTTGGTGGACTTTCGTAAATTCAAATTTATATAATTACTCTTACAAAAGCGGTTAAAAACAATACCATATGATAGAGAAAGATAAGTAGAAAACCTACCATATAATTATATAGGGTTTCTATGAATTAAGAGAGCTATGGTCATCAAGGCTGAGATCATGAGAGAGGCTATAAAGTCATAGCATAAATTTTTTAGGTTATGATGTTGGTAGTGCATATAAAACAACTCATCTTCAAAATAATAGCACCCAACACTGATTAAGTTGTCCCTACACACCTGAACAAAACGACATTGTTGAAAGGAAAAATTGACACATTAAAGACACTGTTATAATTTTGTTAAACCATGTCAAATTACCTTCTCAATTCTGAATGGTTGCGGTCCATATCATTGTCTATTTAATTAAAAGACTTTATCTTCCAATACTTTCAATAAGTCACCATTTCAATTGTTGTTCACCTACAAAACTAACTATCATCATTTAAGAACTTTCAATTGTGCGTGATTTTCTCGGCACTCACCTTTTCACACTCACAAATGTACTCCCAAAGCCCTTCTTTGCATTTTTCTAGGCTATAATCACTCATCATTAAGGATATATTTATTATGTCATTTCCCAAAAATGCACCATTGTTTCCCAGTATGTTTAGTTTATTAAAATTCAATTTTCTTATCATGATCTCACTTCTTTCACATCCCAGTACTCTCCTTCTCCGACCTTCTTCCTTAGTAATACATATTTTTATCTTGGAATCTCAATCTCACACCTCTCCTTCTCATCCTCCTTCCCCAAACTCTGATGCCAATATCCCTCACTCAGTCTGTCCTCTTCATTCCAAATCCCCACCTCCATATACCGACATAACTCTCCCACCTACCTCCCTCACTTAACCCTTTCCCATTACTCATCCCATGGTTACAAGATAAAAAACTGGTCATTCTAAACCAGCTAAATTTTTTACACTTTTACATCAATATCACTTGGACACCCCCACCACTTTTAAACATGTTTTCAATCAGTCACACTGAAGAAATGTCATGCCTGAAGAGTTCATGATTCTCCAAAAACAAGGCACGTGGATTCTCGGACCTCCACCATCCACTCAAAAACATTCTAGGTTGCAAATGGACTTTTCGCATCAAACATCACACCAATGGGCCTATTTCTTGCTATAAAGCACATCTTGAAGCCCAAGGTTTTAAGAAACAATGGGGTATTGATTATCATGAACCGTTTAGTCTTACTACTAAGTTCTCCACAATTTATATGACAATTAAATTAGACACCACGAAATATTAGGAAATCCAACAGTTAGATATTTCAAATTTTTTCTTACATGAGAAACTTGAAGACACTATTTATATGTTTTAATCACCAGGCCTCATTAATAATTAATATCCCCATTATGTATGTATGTTGTAAAAAGTCATTTACGATCTAAAACATGTACCAAGGCAATGATACTCCACTTTCTCTAATTATTTATATACTTAGAACTTTCAATTAAGCAAAGCTGATCCTTCATTACTTATTGTTGGTATCTATTTTTTATCACATTTGATCCTTCCTTAATTATTGTTGGCATCCATTTTTGATACAACATACTAGGATGTCCTTGTCGAGTGACACAACACTATGATTGGGTTCTACACCATTATAGTCGGGCTCCGAGTTGAACATTGTCAAAGCGACAACGCTTCTGGTTCTCTCTACATTGACGTTCAGTCCTGTGGCATGAGGTTGTATATGGTCGATGCTTCTGTAACATAGACAGTTGATGGTTGATTCATACGTAATTGTACCTTAAGCTTAAGATCCGGATAGATAGATTTCATGCTGAAACCGCTCTGCTCAACTATACGTAGACGGTTCAGCCTCTCAAACTTTTTTAGACACATTTATAGTTCTTACAAAGGATCAAGGATCATTGTCTGCTCACATTCAATCCTCTGAAAGTCCCACGAGGTCCTAACCCCCCTTTGGCGAGCTTCTCTAAAGCCTAATCTTTTTGGGGTTCGACGTGAATTAGGCGCGGCCACGCCTAGTTAATGTTGTGACAACACCTAAATTAGAAGTGGCCACGTCGAGACCTCCCCAAAGAACACACAAGGATTGTGGTCGGCGTAACCACGCCAGAAGGTGGCATGGGTACACCAAACAAATTGAAACTTTGACATAATTACGTCGCAATATGGGTGTGACATTGCCCAAATTTCAGGATGCACCCAAGTTTGTCGATTGGCATTACCACACCCACAAGAGGGGTGGCCACACCGCCCAGATAAAGCGCCCAGCATAATTATGTCGGGCCTCAAACGTGGTAATGTGGGGCCTTCATCTGCAATGCTTTGAACAGTGACATGACCACGCCTGAATGCGGTGTGGGTGAATTTTGGACCTCTAGTCCCCATATTCCCACCGCGAGATAGCTGGGATGGCCGATCCATCTTCTTTTTCTTGGTTCTTCACCTAAATATGGTATGATAGATATTTTGGGCTCACTCCAAATTAAGAAAGCGGATTAGACCCCTCGGGTAATCTTTCTTTGGCTGTCTAACCAAGGATCAGTCACCATTGGAGAAGAGAGCAGGAGAAGAGCTTGGGGAGTATAAGAAAAGAAGCTTGGGAGCTTTGAAAGGGAAATCACTATCTTGCTGCAAGAGAAATTCAGGGAAAAGCTTCTTCCATCCTTTCCATTTCCTGGCACACAATTTAATTTAAAATAACTGGGCACACAATTTAATTTAAAATAACTGGGCCAACTCTCCGATTTTCTTGGCCTGCAAAACAATAAAACGGAACAAGCATATTTCTTGCATCAAACAAATTATGCAACGGATTTATTAACTCGTGCCACTATGTTTAATTCAAAACCTGTTTTAACTCCCTTACCCACCCATCCTCATAAACTCAAGGATAACCCTTCATCCTTTTCCGACCCTCACCACTTCACACACTTTATAGGATCTCTGCAATACATCATCGTAACGCATTTCGATATAATCTTTACTAGCAATTTTTTAAGCCAACATATGCACAACCCAAACATTATGCACTGTCAAATGCTCAAACTTCTTCTGTAATATTTAAAGGATACACTAAATCTGGATCACTCGAATTACATGCTTATGATATGGATGTTCAAAAATTTATTACTAATCATTCTACATATTTTGGTCCTAATCTGATTTCCTGTTCTTCCAAAAAGCAATCAATCGTTGTAAATTCATCAACGGAAGCTGAGAACATAAATTAATCCATCAAATCTGAATCTGTCTTCATCAACATTGAACCCATCTTCAAAAACTAAAAACTAACAAAAACCAGACTTGAAAAACCTCACAAAATCTTACAAAAATTTAAAAAAGAGGTCTTAACTTCATGAAACTCTACATCACATTACTCAAATACAACATATTTATATTATCACACACCTGCGCAAAACAGAGAGCCTCTCCCTCTCTTATTTAAATATTTCATACTCCCCCATACATACTTCAAACCCCCTCCTCAGACCCCTTCAACAAAACTCACAACAGACTCCATTAACGGCCTCACAAGTTTCTCTCCTCCCTTCCCCTCCCATGGCCCCGCCATGAACACCTCCTCCTCCCTCCCTCTCAACACCTCATCCACCACCTTCGCCGCCACCCCGAACGCAAGCTCCTTTGCCTCCTTCTCCAACTCGCTCAGCATATTGTTCTTCCCCGCAATAAAAACCATCTCGTTGCTCTCCGCTTGAATTTCAAAGCACACCATCTGAAGGCTCTGTTCCTTGCTGGCAACGATGGAGGTCGGGTGACCCGGCGGGCTCACCATAACAGAGCCCTGTGATAACGGAGAGCTCACTCTAGTGTAACGTTCTTCAGTCTGACGCTGTGGCTCGTCTTCTTTATGCCATTCTTTTTCTTCGGGGTAGATTATTTCTACGTAGCCGCTTCCTTTGGTCACTACTGCAAGCTTGAAAGCTCGTGTGTTGAAGAAGGGTGCTAGCATTGATCCCTGGTGTTTATTATACACTTAATTAACACTAAATATAAAAATATATATAAAGATGTTTGCTATGTAAAGACATTGGTCATGTACGAACTTACACGAGATATGTTGGTGAAGGTGACTCTGACGTTAAGATCTCTGAGCTGCTCATAGTCGTTGCGATCTGCCTCAAGGAGCTTGCCTCTGTTATTTTTGTACATAGGCTGTTTGTTTAGTAAATTAAAAGGCTTATTCGATCTGCGGAAAGGCCAAGGCCTGGTTTCTGATTCGTAGGCCTGTTGCGCTATGGCTCTGATCTTCTCCTCCGGTGCTTTTGTTATTGCCGCCCTGCTTTGATGTCCGAATAACTGATGCAGTTGTTCTCTTGGCGTCTAAATCAAATATGCCAATTATGTAAGTGCAAACAAATAAGAATTGTGTGGTATGTTTGTAAGACATTGCGTGTATAGAATGTTTACATTCAGCGCAGCCTCTGCGATTTCAGTGCTGAAGCCCCGGAAGTAGGACTCAGCCTCCTCACTACCAGCGGACTGGAAAACCTGCACATAAACTTAATTATCATAAAATCAGCGCTCAAGTTAAACAAATATATGATTTAAATATACCTGAAAGCTGGCAGTATTTCCAACAGGACGAAGAAGCCGGGCAAGTTTAAGCTTTTGGTTCTTGCTTTTATTAATCAGATACATTATGCTGCCGGCCCAAACCCTCATGATATCTCCCTTCTCAATAACATGAGACTCCCTATTCCCCTCATGCAATAAGGCAATAGCTCCCTCACCTTTGCCAAACAAAATTAAAAAAATAATTACAAAAATAATTGCATCTTTAATCACACATAATTAACAAATTAATACCTTCAACAACATAGAAAACAGAGTCAGCATTCGTGTGAGTTGGCACTAAAAACGTGAGAGGCTCCGCCTCAAACCAGCCAAGCCTGTAATTTGTAATCCCCTGCAGCATAGGAGACAATTCGGCGAAGGGCTTCAAAATCCTAAGTTTTCCATGCTCCGAGCTCACTAAATCCTCGTAGCTCTCTTCTCCAAAGATTAAGAGTTTAGCATTCTTTTCCTTCTGCCATTCCTCCTGCTGCTTCTCTGTTTCTTGGTCATGGTGAAGGGATGAGGAGAGGGAGAAGAGGAGGGAGAAGGAGAGCATGATGAGTACTGTTCTCTTCATTTTTTTTTTATTTTTTTTTTCTTAATTGTTGTGGCTTGGTGAAAAAGAAGAGTGGGGAGGACGTTGATTTATAGGAGTGAATGAAGAAGTCTGTACGTGGTAATGTAGCGAACGGACTCTGCATGGATGGATGAGTGATTAGGATAACTTACGCGTGTGAGAATGCATGTGTTTGCGTTGGCACGTGTGTCCCATGTTGCATGCATGCAGGTATATTGGCAATTGGCATGTGGTTCTCTGTTTTTTCCTCTCTTTCATATATATAAATTAAGAAATTTCAGTTTGAGATAAATCATATAATTTATATAATTGTTGCAAAATAAGTTCATGCTTACAGCGAAGCTAAAGCTGAATATAGCATTGCTTCCATTGAGTTATATTGATTTACTCAACCTGATTATATTTCTTCTTCTTTAAGCCTCTTAATTAGTGACTGTTTTATTCAATGGGAAACTTTATCAAGATAAAATCTAACAGGTGGCCATGGCCTAGTTTCCTCTGCAGGGAAACATATTCCGTTGGTTTGCATGCATGAACATCTATGGTGCAGATACAGGCGCCAAGTTGACCTGCTGAGCTCCTACGTGCCGAGCTGACTGCCGAATTTGTTCATAGAGCTTAATTAGATGTTGAGTTGACATTCCAGACATCCATTTTTATTTTTTTAGACGAGATAAAATGACACGACATAAAATTGTGTTAATGTGACATAGCATTACATAAATTTGTGCACTGTAACATAGCATTATGTATCATTATATATTTCAATGTATTTTATTGTATTTCTTATAAACTATTGTACTAATGAAAAACAACACTTCAAGATCTATAGAGAGAAGTCAATCATTTAACTAAACAAGGGGTGGAAGAAGGGCTCTCTATTCTTTTAGGCTTTTCATTTCTCCTTTTCTTTCCTCTCCTTAATACAAATAAAATTTGTGCATAACTAACCGAGAGATCTAAGTTTCAACATTTTGAATGTTCAACACCCCAATCAATTTTTCTAAGATAGCAGTGTCGTTTTGAAATTATTTAATATATATATATATATATATA